TGATCCATCTGATCGCTTCTCCAACATTCGATTCTCTCTATTTCTCTCACGTATATATCGGTAAAGAGGGAAAGTTCTGGAAAAGAGTATGAAGGCAAACGGTTCGCGGAGCAATCACAGCATCCTGCTGCCAACTCAAGTGTATCACGAAAAGGTAAATCAAAAGGTCTGTCCTTCTCTTCTTCTCTCCTTTTTGCACAATTACAACTGCATATATAAGTGCGCATTTTATTATATATACATGTGTATATATATGTGTGTATTTGTGTGTATGCATATGTGTGTATGTGTCTGCACGTGTATGTACATTGACAGTGTGGAAAGGTGCATATGAGAACGGTTGGTGACAGTGGTGGTGAAGAAGTGATGACAACCAATGTAGCATAAATGGCTGAAGCAAAATGCATCTCAGAAGTCGTACGGGAACCTAGCCCATTAATCAACTTAGCAGTAAGCTTTACCGCATATGAACTGCTTGCCGCAATAAATACCATCTAGCATAGCTACTTATTGCACTGCATAGTTGGATTTTAGAGAAAAGAAAGAAAAGTTCGCCTGAGGGCAAGAGAAGACATAGAGAAGTGGATCGATAAAATTCTCTGGGAATAGCATGTATTGTTGTTATTGAATTTGAGGTAATTGAGCCTCGGGGCTATTGTTAAGCAATCATCTATCCTCGCACTAGACTTATATCATCTTTACTGACATTGTTTCCCTTATTCTTACTTTACGTCCAAACATCACTTTAGCATCCTAATATTCATTTACTATTATTCCATTACGACTTTTATTGCACATGTGTTGTAATTTTTCATTCTTTTCTGTCAGCAGTGTTATGAGCATTTCATGTTTGCACTTAAACTTTTTGCTGCTTAATTTACACATTAAAATTACTTTTTTGGTCTGATTTAGTAATGAATCATGGGTGGTTTTTCACTGCTGCTTATGTTCCAAATAACACGTAATTTGTTTTATTTCATTCTCTTAAGGATATATTTATAGTAGTAACTCTTATTACGTTTGCGCATTTCGGTAAAATGAACTTGATATGTTGTCAGTATAGGGAAATTTCTGTTTAAACTGATATAGTTCTTTTTATCGACTACAATGTTATATTTCTGTACTCGATGAATTAATTGCTCACCCATTTGTAGTTTTTTACTAAATGTCGAAAATATGGAACATCATCTTGTCCAGCTTCCCGACAAAAGCAATTCCCGTGAAAAGAACCGAGTACGAAGTCGCCTGTCTTATTTAAACGTGATACGACGTCTTACACTTCTAACGACATCATATTCTAAAATTTAATTCTTGTACAGTACAAAACTTAATTCATTACAGTTGTTACTGAAAAAACAGTTGACCGTGTTATGAAAATATAATAATTGCTTTTTTCAAATTCCCAGAAAAAATTTTTGATTATTAAATCGTGCAAAAGTTTAACCTGAACAATTCTGGAGGATTGGCTCTAGTTTTCTCTGTAACACTGCGAAGTGAAGAAGCAACAAGTATTTCAATGCTTTCTGCGAAAAGCAAAAGGAAGGTACTGCTAGAAGGACTGACAAAGATATATTTAATTACAAAAAGATAACGCAGTTACAATTTCCAGAAGTTCTTGCAATATTCAAACTACCCTCCATTTTTTAAAATAAAAATAGGGTTTACATTGTTAAAGATTACTTAATTTGCTTTGTCCAAAAACGAACTGTATTGCAACTTAAGCAGTTGCTTTAGCAAATTCTAGAAGGATAAAGGTAATACCACGTCTCTTTTTTTCTGATTTTTAGTTTCTGTAAAACTTTGTAGTAAGTAAGGCACTTTAATCTTGATGTTAGATGAAGCATTACGAAATTGGGCAAGAATTTAAGAAATGTAAAATACTTTATTTTTCAAAATCCTAATCAATTTTTCGAACATATCTGAATAAGCAGTGACATTAAGTGATACACTGACTAATATCTGCTTAGCTGCAAAGAATGATTGAGTTGCATTCTTGATTTAAGTTGTGTACTGTTGAAGGGACAAATTTATGCAGAATTTGTATGGCTCCTTATCATATCTCATCAAAGTTTTCAAAATCAAAAATTTCTAAAATATTTTGTGGATTTTACTTTCACAACCTAAAAAATCAAAACCAAATCATTAGTAATTCTTTGCTAGATTTTGTCAGCAGACAGAATGGTCGTTGATAAATTTTCCCTGCTGTGCACTAAGAATTTTACATGGTTTTGGAAAAGAAATAGTTCTGGGTTCCAACAAATTGGTAAGGTTCAATATTGCTTGCAATATAATTACCATAAAAATAGATGCGGAACTTAGATTAAATGGCAAATTTTACTGTCAGAAGTAATATGGAAGTTTCGCTCGATTTATTTTAATTAGCTTTGAAAGCTTCATTTGAATTGATAAGCAATGCCTTACATTTATTCATCTGAAATTGTTTAGGAATATGATAACAAAAGTATGATGAGTACCATCACTGAATAACAATCACTTAAAATTCCAGTTTTCGTCGAGTTTAAAAAAATATTCAATACATTTACTTTTACGAACTAAAAAACCAAAACAAATGTTTTTTGACCTTGATGATTTTTAATAGATGCAGTTGCATAATGATTTAAATTTAAAAGTCTTAACAAGTGTAGCATAAACTGTTTGGACGAATCTTTGTTCCTTGTTAAGATGAATGAGGACTAGATTTGAGAATGATGCTGCTGGTATAAAGCTGCTGTAGGCAAAAATGAAAAAATGGCTTATTTTGATATTTTGGTTGTAAAAATAACTATTTTGATATTTTAAGAGTGAAATGAATAAAATCGTAATAAAATTGAAATTCTGATAAAGTTGAACAAAGAATGTAAAGAAATCAAACTAGTTGACATTTTTATTCTATTTGATTTTTCGTTTCACTCATAACGTTTGTAAATTTTTGATACTATATATTATTTCTTTAAAAGCTTAAAACTTACTACAGATAAAGTCAGATTTGAAATAAGAAATAAATGCATTATGTTCAAAAAGCATTTTGCTTGTTGGTCAAAAATTTTGCAGCAAAAAAGTTGTTTTTTTAACATTCTTCTTTCTGTTCTGTTTACTCCAAAAATTGTAATATGGTGCGATAAATTTCATTTATTCAAAAGAAAGCTAAGCAGTCTAAACTTCGCTCTCTTTTCTGTTGTAAACATGTATATTTCATATGATCACTACAAAAGATAGTAAAGTTAAGATTTTTAAGGAAAGATGACTATCAGTTAGCTTTTGATTTCTATGTTACAGCACTCAGTCACATATGAAAGAACTAACTGCGGTTCACTACTTTTACGAATTCAAAAGAGAACAAGAGATTATTTGAAGACTTCTATATCTGAAATGGAAAGTAAAATTTGTAGTACCCTATAAGGATATTTTATTGAAAAATAAACTGCAGTGCTTTTCTACCCAGAATTATCTTAAAATGGACAAAAAATGATAAATACCTACTTGTTTTTTGCTATAAAAAAGTTTAGAAGTTGTTATCTACTAAATGGAAGGGTGGATTAAAGTTCAAAGGATTTATCTATAGACATCTGTGCCCGCACAAAAATTGAAAATGAACTATTACTTCCGAAATAAAATGTTTTAAGGGGTGTGAACATTTTATGCAGTTCAGTCTTGCAAGAAGAGAAGAAAGTGCTAGAAGCAAATTGCTCAAGTTGCGACGGTTTCAAAATTCGCGAAAAAAAGAGAATTTAAAGATGTCCCGGGAGAGAATCAACCCGGATTGCTCTCATCAAACATTCCAACTTGGTCCATGAAATTTGTCTTCAGTCAAAAGTTATCTTTCTTGGGAAAAGTATTCTCTGCTTCGTTTGGAAGTATTGGACGAATGAATTTATTTTCGGATGCATTTTGGACAGCTTAAAGTTAATATGACTAAGAAGAAAGGAAGGAATGCAAATCTTTTCTGAAGATGCGTAGAAAAGTTTCCTCATTGTGCCTTCACTTTAAATGGCCATCACAAGTTGGATCAGCATATGGAAGGAATGAATCAAAAGAATTTTGTCATTTTGCAAAATCTACTCAATGTTGTTTCATTATAACTTTGGCTTCTAACTTAAGTTTAATTGCTTTGCTTTTCATTTTTCTGCATCTTACTCCACAAACTGCTAGTAATTACTACACCATTACTACATTTAAAATGTCACTTTGCTATTTTCAATGATTTATTTTCAAATTACTACTGTGCTACTATTTTTTACTTCATTATAATAAAAAATGTCTACTTGGTACTTCTAATAGTTTTCGTTATTATAAGAAGTCCTTGAGAGGAATAATTGTTTGGAAAGTAATGGAGCTATTATAATATTAAGTTTATAAGACAGCAATGTGAAGGACAAATGCTTTCTACTGAATTCTTTCATGTGTGTAGCTTATCCGAATAAGCATTCTTTTGAAATAGAATATGTGATTATCAGATGTTCCAGCAAAAATAGTCATGCTTGCCAAGTGATGTATTTTCATTCACTGTCGATCCAAGAAAAAGCGAATTCCTTTGTGTTTTTACCAGAACAAAGTGGTCAAGAGTTTATAAAGATGAAAATACTTTTCGTTCTAGTCACAAATGACATAGGGCAGTCGAACTGCCAGATATCGTCAAAATTTTTAAGCAAAATAATATTTTCTAGTGTTTCTTGATTCATCAATACTTGGGACAGCAAGCAGTAATATTGACTTCAGAAGTTCAATTTACAATAAACAAAATGTGAATGAACATGATGTGACATAAAGTGATTGATATGTTTGGCTCACATTATGTATTTTACACGTTCAAAAAAACGTACATGTAAAATTATTATCGCAAAATAATATATCAGCAAATTACAGCTTTCAAATGCTTATGAAGTGAGCAAAATGCAGAAAACGGCAAATATCAAAAATTATCTGAATAAAACTGATTAAATTTCGCCTATAAATTGAACTAGTTTAATTCGTTTTGTTAATGACAAGAATTCTAGAACAAAATGATTCATCTATGGATGGATCGTCCTAACGATTTGGTCAGTAGTTCGAAAACGAAAAGTAACGTTCGACTTTCGAAATACGTTTCTATAAGTGATGGTAATCGTAACAATTGCACAAATTCAACAAACTATTACGCAGGAACGACTGAATCTGGATCAAATTCCACGGCAACAAGTGCATTGAGAAAATGTTGCCGAAGTACCAGTGTCGCTGCCGAAGAAAGTCGTTCGCAAAGAACTCAAGGAAAATCAAATCATCGCAGTCGTTCAAAAAGTGTATTCGCTCATAAACAATGGCTCGATGGAGCGATGAGTGGAACAGGCATTACCAGCGAATTGTTTAAGGTTACAAATGCTTAATTATGAGCATAGATATCAATCACTTGTTTCATTTCATATGATCAGTTTTTTCATGACTTCAGACACATTCATATATCATAAAATCATTTAAATAACACGAAAAACTATTTCGCTATAAAAATTTCCAGCAGTTAAAAATATTGTATTTTGTTACTTATGGTAAAGTCAGAAGTAGACAATTTTCTTTTTAGTTAAGTGATAACAATTGAATTGAATGCTGCATTTCCAATTTCCAATTTTTAGTGCACTTATTTTGACTCTGCTTTCTTTTAATTTCCGAAGTATTTATAAAAACAGTTACTTAATTTATCTTTACAATTTAGTTCAGTAAAATGGCATTCTATTTGCCTATAACAAAATACTTCTTATTTAATTATAACATCAATCCTATAATAGAAATAATAATATTTTTTATCATGTTCAAAAGATCATACTCACCATTACATCGGTCACAATTAAATTTTGTGTGCAATGATGCAAATAACTATCAAATCTGAGAGCTGTTTAATGACTAATCATGATCATGATTAACTAATAGTGTAGCATCTATAAACTAGAAGATTATAGTAATCTAATAGGTAAGACATTAAAAAGCTTTGTATTTTCATATAAAATAAAGCCAACTTTTGATAATTAGTGATGAGTTAATCTTTCTTTGAATAACTGCACTGTTAAGATTAATGTTATTTGTAAATTTTATTTCTTGAGATGTTATTTTGAAAACTGTTTCAATTTGAATCATTTAGAGTTGCATTTAGGATGCATTTATTCTCAGCAACTTTTTAATGATCTTTGAAAGTCAACTGGAATTTTCGTTAGCCTGAATAAAATTTTCAAATTTGAAATATAAAACAGTTGAGGTAAGATGACAGCTATTTTCAGACATGCGAAACTGTCCAATCTAGCAAATGTAATACGGACAAAGAGTGCAAAAATTCAGCGAATTCAACTTTGAACAGTAATGAGGTTTGTATGCAGTCTTCTAATGAGTTGTTTTACACGTCAAAAATTAAATCTACAGTAAAAACACATGTGAAATCCTGTTACAAAGATTATTTTCAGTGGGCATCTTAAACTGATATACTTTTTTTATCTATTTGTAGGGAATTATAATTTTTTTCCAACTACTGGAATCTTGATTTGGTGTAAGCTTAACATCCAAGTGAAACAATTTGCTTTCACTGTGCAGCCTTTAAGCACTCTTATTAATTTCTTAAATCATAAATTACATATTTTTTTTCAGTCAATCAGAGCATACTTTTACAAGTAGAATAGTCAGTGATTTGAATTATTACAAGGAAAACGCAAAAATGAGCTCCAAATTAAAATTGTTTCCTAACTTAAAGAGCGAATTTTTTTGTTTTTCAATACACAATATTTGGAATTGTAATCTGGTACAATTTTTTTTCACTAAACCTCTTGTTTTACTACGCTACATCAGTTTCAAAGATAAAATTATTCACATGAATATATCAACAAAGTTTTCTGTCTCCCATTTTATTATTAGTTCTTCAACCGGACTATCATGCATATCTTTCCTTACCTATCATAACAACCTTTATTTAGCGAGAATTGCATAAATTTGTTGAGAACATAAAAATGGTTCTATACACCTATGGTTTAGTAAAAATTCTTGACTGAACAAAATAAGAATCTAGTGAAAAGTTAGAAGAAATCCGTTCAGTCGGAAAATCATACTATTATTTTGGAAGAAAAAGCAAATTCTGATTTTTCAAAAAGTTTTTTAATTTTGAGAAGTTTCGATATGCTAAGAAATTTTTCCTTCGGCACTCTCGCATACTTAACTTTCTTTCTTTAATGTTATTCGAAAAATGTATGATTTTCGCATATCAAAACATTTCCACGTTTCTACTATCTTCTTTTATCATATTCAAAGCAATCAAGTAATCATCATAAAGAATATTCCAGAACTTCAGAAATTGCTCAAAATTATTCCTGATAAACTCTGTAACAATTCAGTGATGGAAAGTTGGAAGGTAATATGAATAATTAAAGCTTGACAAACTTTTGCACTTGAAAAATTTTTCATCTAAATTTCTACTCCTTCGCACTCACAAATTCTGACAATGGAATTTGCTGTAGGCAAAAGGTTGAATTCAAAATTGTGTTGCACTTGAAAGTTGGAAATAATGATCTTCCGAAAAATCTTTCTACTTGAAAAAAAATTGTTTTTAATAATGAATTTCACTTTATTTGCATTAAGTGAATGAGAAGTTGAAAACTCTCCAAGACTGCACTTCCAAATAAAAATAGCAAGTGAACAGCCTGCCCGCATCTCGGTAATTCAGTAATTCAGTGCACGAAAATTCTAGCACTGGCTGATAAATGACAGCTGTTTCACTTATGTCAGCCTGGGAAAAGTCAACATTTTGAAATTAAAAAGTAATCACAACGCTTGCACTAATTACGACATAGGCAAGTTGACAAAAATACATTATCAAACTCAAAGTGCGCTGAAAATTTTCATATATCTATTTGCATTAATTAAACATAATTGATGAATAGACAAAAGATTAATCGCACATTACTGTGCATATTTTAAAAATTTATACTTTAAGCTATACAATCACAATAAAAAATGTTTACGTAATGATGAAACATCACTTAAGGGGGCTGGGAAATGATAACAACTTGTCACTTAAGTCAGCTGAGATTAGTTGAAAATAAATTTGGAAACCAAGATATTAGATATAACTTCTAGAAGTTTCTTGAACTACCTCTTCGTTTTTTGGTAAGTGTCTGAAATTTTTGAATTGTCAGAGTTTTCCTTGATTCTATTTGCTTTTAAAAAGAATGATTCTTTTTGCTATAAGGCTTTAGTTTTCAAAAAAAAAAAAACTGCTATTAGGCTTTAGTTTTCAGTTATGGACTTGTTATTTTTTTTGTTTTTATATTTCTAGTCAGTATAAAATCATTTATAACGCATTTTATTATTTACTACTAGTCTTGAAATATTCAAGATAAATTTTGCTAATTGCTTTAATTGCTTCAACTAAGTATGACTGCGGGAATTTTATCGTCGTTTTATTTGAAGACAGTAAAGTAGCACTTCGTCGTGGACTTTTTTCACTCGGTTTATTTGATTTGATTTACTTAATGATTTGATTCACTTAATTACAAATTATGAGGCCAAAAAGTTAAAGTACTATTTAGTTCATTTCCCACAAAGAAAATAATAATTTTTGAAAAAATAGTTTGAGCCATGGCTTCATACTCTGTTTTAATTTCATATAAATGTTAGCAGCAAAAGTTGAGCTATCTATAAAGTGGAGAAATCAAAATTCAGCTCAGCAACAAAAGATAAATTTCATTGTTACATAACTTCTGATTGATAAAAACATTCCATAACGTCATTAACAAATCTGTGCTGTTGAAAAGTTGTTTCAGCTTGTTTCTCTTTTTATTTCATATTACCATAGGGACAATAAGTAATCATTATTTTATTCTTTAATCTTATCATCATTTTTAATTTTTATAATTTTTTGTTAATTGAAGTTCATATTTATAAGGTTATTGTTTTTTCATCAACCTTTGGTAACTTATGAAAAGGCTTCGTAATATTGTTCATTTATTTGAAAAAATTATTGAGATTAAAAATAATGATAAGATTTTAGCAGTGAAGCAATGATTACTACTTCTTGCTCCTAAGATAATTTGAAATAATGATCTAAAACGAGGTAATCATGTGCAGTGCCAAATACCCTAAAATTAATTTTTCTCGAAGTTCAAGGCAAAAAATTTCTTAGGGTTTTTGGCTAAATTGTAACAGACAAAAGTTTTGATTATTAGAGAAAGTTGATTATAGAAATTTCTTTTAACCAATCATTTGAAATTGTTTTGTACTACTTGAGAATTCAAGAAATATATCAGCTGATGTGTTTTCATTTATTTCAAATGAAACATTTGTCATGCATTGGTTGTTTCACATATTAAAAAATTATCGTCTTCAAAAAAAATAATTTGCGAAAACAAAATTATAAGCAATTCGAAAGTTTAATTTTTGGTTGAAAATTTGAATACATGTATAAAAGCTATACAGTAACTTTTAATTTTTCCATTTCAGTTCTTAGCAAATCACCAGCAAAAAATCGCTCTTTCTTTGTATTACTAATCAATTTATTATCAAAACCTTGTTAAATTTAGAGTCTTGAAATTTGATAATTATTAAAACTTTGAGAAATCAATTTTGCTTTATTTGGAATCCACCACTTTACTAACAGTTCAGCACAAAAAAAGGAAAGCTAAAATTCTGTATTTTAAGCATTTCCAAAATTAGAATGCTTTATGTAAACATCGTTGTAGAACTCAGCAGTTAAATATGAAAAGATTTTGACAGCACTATTAAAAAAAGAAAGATAATTTTTGGTGAGTAAATGTGGATGTAGTATCACAATTTTTTTTAAATATCCGTACATTATTTAAAATGTATGCTTGTTGACGCAACTTTGAATGCGAATTCAATATAATATTTAAAGGTCATTAGTACTTTAGAGATTTTCAATAAGTTCTAAATTTATTTTTAACTTTTCAAGTAATTATTTATTTACGTGGAAAATTGAAATTACGATAAAGGTTTTGTTTAAAACATACTGAAATTCGTTTTTAATGACAGTCTCGTAAAGTTGATTTCGCTTAGCAAATCAATAAAAATCTATTGATAGAAGAAAGATTTTCATTTCTTAAATGTATTTCAGCAGCTCTAACGATTACAGAAAAAACATGGAAAACAAATGGTTAAACTTTGTTTGCTTCATTGCAATTACAGCAAACTTCCCTATTATAACTGTCCTGTTTCTGATACAAAACCTAAAAAATAGTGCAGATTACAAGAGGATATTAAGTACATCAAAGATCAGACTTCTGTAATAGGGAACTTTTCAGTAGCTCAAATGATAAGTGTTGCAAATTACTGAAAATTAATGCAAATTTAGAACTTGCAATTACTTAACAAAAATCAGAAATACTTCCAAAATTCTAAAAAGATTAAGATTTTGTATCTGCTTTTGTTACTCTACACTATTTCAGATTAATTTTATAAAATTAAAAAAAAAGTAGACAACCAAAAGCTAATCGAGAAGAAATTTCAGTAGAGAATTGACGAAAAAATCTTTCAACTTGCTAGGAATTGGTGCTAACACTTTACTAAACATGCATGTAATAAGTGTTAATAGTTGCTGAAAGAGAAAGTTACTTGTATATGTTTATATTCTACTATTTTAGAAGCACTTATTACAAATAACATCTCTGAACACAAAAAGCAATAAAATACAACTACGTTCAATTTTACTGCATGATTTATTGCATGAGCAGGACAGTGATTAAACTTTAATTACTTTTCGAAGCTTTTCTGGTCACTAAATAATAAAAGCGTGATAACATTTCATATTGTTATTAAGCTTCATACATAAATAGAATTCCGGAGTGTGTTTTTACCAGTTATTTAGATATATGCTTACATTTGGATTTGATCTCCTAACAAACACAAGATGAAAAAAATTTAAAAAAAAAAAAAAATTTGGGATGAAAAGCTATTCGAATTAATTTTGCTATTTGCTCTTCACGTTTCATTTTTCCTTGCTTTCCCACCTATTCTTTGCAGCAAGTGAGAGCTAAGTTTTTCTTATCAACAACATTATCAACAAACTTCGGCTTTTTCTTTACTACAATAATTATAACAACGAAGCTTGCTTCTTTTGCATCTAATTCATCGAGCTATTAATTGTATTATATTCGGACTGATTTGAATATTTGACCAGCGAATTTAAAAAGCTAAAGGAGACAAGTGTGATTCAACATATTTGCTTATTTCTTTATTTTTGATTCTTGAGTTTATAAAAATTTTCTGCAAATTTAAAGGCAAAACTATTTATTTTGTCAAATTGTCTGACAAACTTTATGTCTTACGTAAAATATTACTGTTTAAAACAAAATGTATTTTGTTAAGTAATCATTTAACAGGCATTCAAAAATTGAGTGGATGAAGAAAAAATGGATAGAATTGGCAGGGTATGGATTAAATTAAACACAACACGACGATCATCTCAATCACGGTTCAGCAAGGATATCGATTTAGATGATCATGACATCCCGATTGAGACTACTCAGAAGGTATTTGAGATATTTTCTGAGACTTCGCGACCTACGGAGCATCAAAGTACTGTGAATGATTTTTCTGGATCATCTAAAGCATTTACTAATAGCCGGAAGCCAAAAAATGTAATTGGTCGCGATACATCTTCACAATTAATGGATACTTCAGATACGTTTGATAGAGAAGATAATGTAAAATCATTGCTGGTTCCTGCGCTGCATCCAACAGGAAGTTCTTTTTCTCATTCTAATAATGCGAGTATTCATGATGCAAAGAACGATTCGAAATTTGCCTCAAATACAACAATTAATAAGGCACAATATGATTCTGAAATGGTTGAATGCAATTCAGAACCAAAAAGTAAGCACGATTTGATAGCTGAAAACACGAATTTGCAAATGACATCTCATTCAAATGATTCTAAAATAAAGAAACCAACGCTCTATCACACGTCAGTATTGCCCAAAAACTGCAATGAACTGGCAGTGATGCCTTCAAGTAGTCTCGCATCGTTGAAAATTTTGCCGTCAATGCCGTCATCGCTTGTGTTTGGACAGTCTCCGAATACAACAAATATAGTACATCGTCAAACTTTGAATAGCACTGGTAATGATGGAACAGCAGAAACATCAGTTATTTCGGTCAGCTATAACAACTTAATATGTTTCAAGACTTTAAATTTTTATCAGCATACAGTCTTTTTATTTGGATAAACAGGAAGAAAATTTGAGAATGGATTAGCATTTAATTTGATTAAACAATATCAGTAGTGATTTTGAAGTATACTTCTTGATCAAACAATGGCTAGGACATTATTTTTTCGAGAAATCCTTTAATAAATTTACTGTTTTGTCATTTTTGCAAATTCTCTTATTTTTTGGCCAACTATAGAACCATTATTGTGCTTAGTTTTCCGGTCACAGAAAATGTTAGTGGCTGAATAATGTTTGATATTAGAAACTAAAACACAAAATCGATGTAAAGAGATTTTGAAAAAATTTAAGAATTAAGCAAAATTGTAATTTGAAATTCTTTTAATTTACGGATAATTTCTAAATTCAACCAATTAATAGTGAAATATTTTCAAAAGCAAATTGAATGGATTAAAACCAGAAAAAATATATCTCCGAGATTAGGAATAGTACTTTTGGTCTGCTACGTTTAGTTTTTTGTATTATTAAAGGACCAAAAAGCAATGCACGAAATTTGACATCAAAGCGTGAATAGAATCAACCAAAATAATATCTATGGTAATAGGAATGTTTTGAGAATTTTTAGCTTTGTGTACATTATGCGGATATAAATTTAGTTTACTAAAGTATCATTTTTGTTGCATCGAAGGGGTAGTTTAATTTTCTTTTTTTAGGGAGATCTTTAAAATGCTTATGAGTACTATCATAGACTTTTATGAAAGAAAAAAGAAACTTGCCAATTTCCACAATTATTACTCTTTATTATTTGAATTTTGATTGGAACATTTGATTTGGTTGAAGAATTAAAATATTATGAGAGCAATTTTTCGTTTTTCCGTGCTTGAGTGCTATTTTTATGTATTAAAAATGTGCAATAATTTTTAAGATTAAGTGACCACTCAAAGTACTCTCATCTAAATATCTTTCTTAACTGTCATATCGTCAACAAATTCTAGTATATGCAAGCATCACTTCTGCCAAAGTTTAAAGAAAAACTTTGTAAATTTGTTGCACACAATATTAAGTATGTTTATGAATAAATTTTAGACTTTCACGGAAAGCTATCATCCGGCAATTCTTAGTTCCTCCTTTCTTAAAGAAATTTTTTATTGATAAATTATTGATTTTCCTGCTGAACTCAATTCTTTATGCATTTTGCACATCTTTGAAAATTAAATTATCATTATACAAGATTGAATTGGTCTCATTTTTTGTCAAAAGTTTCTATGTGTGTAAATAGACAACAATCTCATTCATATGTCTTACAAAAAATTTGCAGTGAGATTTTTTTTGTTGCGTGATTGACGACAGTGGTTTATTGGTGTTCCTGGGCTGGCCAATAATTTGCGAGGAAGGATCGAAAGTATTGATAATCAAACACCTGTGCCGTGTTCGTAACCGGTCATTTATCATCTGAATAAAAATAGTTTGCATTTCGATCATCCAATAGTAAGAGATGGCAAATTTATTGCAATTTGTGTTGATAAAGTCGGTTGCGGGAGAAAAATTAATCTTTCCCGATAATTGTTATCTCTGGCAGTTTGTGAAACCAAATGATAAGTGATGATTTTCTGATGTGATAGGCAGCTGCTGATGATGATTTTGTTGAAGCTTTGTTACAAGGGATGATAACTTAGTGTGAAACTTGAACAACAATAATTTATATCAGTTTCTAGTCCCATTTGGACTACAAACATTCAAAAAAGTTCTTGCAAGCTTATCAGCAATTACCGTTATTTATGAAAATACAAAAATAACATTTGACTAAACCAAAAAAATTAGCTCGAGTAAGCAATTATTCTTTTAATTTCATTTAAATTTGTTACCAGTGGCGCGGTGGAGTTAAATTTCCTTTTTTACTTAAGTGTAATGGTTCTTTTTTTTTCATTAAAAATGCTTGAAATTGGAAAAAATTTACAAAGTAAAGTATTTGGCCCTTCATTTTATCTTTGACAAAATACCACTTGTTTCAATGCCATTGATATTCTTATTTTAATTACAGTAGCACCGATATGGATGTTACTCAAAAAGAAGTTCATTACACAAGCTAATTTGTAGTTAGGCTCAGAACAGAATGTTTTTATTAAAATTTCGAAAATAAGTAATTTATCAATGTAATTTTTAGAGAATATATTTTTAATATGTACAGTAAAATAAAACTACTCATAATTATCTTCTTTCCATCCAATCCATGACAAAGTTTTCAAAGTTTACAAATTTAAATAAAATTGTAAATCACATTGATATTACACTATAGATCATAAGTATCAAAAGTATAGAAGTCATAAAAAACTGTTAGTTGAAAGGAAGCTTAATCAGATTCGAAATAGAAATTTTATTTATCTTATTTATGGTTAACTCCAATTTATATTCGTAGTTTGAAGTATGCGAAGATTCAAAAAGGAATTGCATTAGCTTTTTGGTCACTACTTATTAGAATTTATTACTTTATAATAACTTCCTTCCAAATATTTTTAAGTGAACTGCAATTGTCAAAACAATATTAAATATTCTTTCTCATGGTCTGCTCTGAATGCATTATTTATTACATAGTAAATTTAGGATATTACAAAAACTGGTTTAAGAAGCATTTTTAAGGAAAGTAATCGGTAACAAATTATTGCATTTTATATTTTAATAAACCATCAAGTTTCTTGATTCACATTATTTAAAAAAATATGCATTGAGCCAAATATTTGAACAGAACACCTACTGGATTGCTTGATAATTACTAACAGAAATATAAAATCAATGAAGTAATTCGGTATAATCTGCATATTTTGGACAGAACATTTTTTTAAGATGAATAATATATATGATTCTCATAAAGTTTTAAATTTTTTATTTTTTTAGAACTAATAAACTATCACTTTTTTTCTCATTGAAATAATTGCAGTTGAAGTAAAGTTAAGACAGAGTAAAAGTGAAAAGGTGTTGAATTACACACGCTTTATACTAGCAAGTTCACAAATGTTGCAATCTGACAGTTCTTTTTGTAATTTTTTACTAAATTAGAATTAATTGCAAAGTATCAGTTTTAGGAAACTCCCAAGAAAAAAAATGATTCTGTGTCAAATGTGGCAACATCAAGTTCTGTTGATGATTTTAAACAACAGGTAACCAAACATATGCTTGTGCACAATTTTGATTTAATTTACATTATTAAAAAATGAAGATTGAGACTCACCATGTTAAGCTTTATGATTAATGATGAGGCTCAAGCTTTGTGATAAAAATGATGCAGTAATCAAGCTCACTTTAGAATCCTAATTTTAACTACTTTTTTTTAGTCGAAAAGACGTAGTTCAGTGCTTGTTCGCCGAGGATCTTTAAATATGGAGCCGTTAAAGCGAGTCGTACTTGATGATGTTTATCACGTTCACAAACAAGTAGATTTTAGATCATATAACCAATTTTCGTTAACATATTGTTATTAATAAAGCAATTAACTAAAGTGTGCATTTGAAAACGATTCCACAAGCGTTTTAATTTACTACGTTCTCATGCCGAATAAATTTTGGACAAAATAAAAAGAATACAATTTAAACGCACTTGCAGTTGGGAACCGGTCGATTCGGTTTTGTTAAATTAGCGGAACACAAAGAATCGAAACATGATATTGCTATTAAGTTCTTTCCTCGACCTGAGATTAAGCAGGTATCTAATAGTATCATTCAGTTATATATTTAACAATGGCTATCCAAAAACTGAACAGTTATCTGCTTGATGTTAAAAATTAAAAGCTGATATTGATAACAAGTAGTTGGCTCTCATTATGCAGCTTTGATTTTTTCATGCAAGTTTTTAGATTGATTTTGTTCGAGAATACAATTATTCGTACTTCTTATCACCCCATCCCAATATTATTGATACCTATCAAGGTATTTACCAAACTGATGATGAAAGTGCTTATTTTTTCGTTCAAGAATTTTGTCCTTTTGCGTCATTTCGCGAAACAGTTGAAGCTTCTTCAAGTGGTAAAAAAAGTTCTATGCTGTAAAAGTTTCGCCATTAAATTAATAATAGCATTTTCTGTAACTCACGTTAATTTGACCAGTAAAAAATTTTCTGGTAAAATTTCTTTATGTATTATTTGCCTTTCAAGAAATATTATATGAATTGTGAAAAAATTTTCAGAAACATTTTTTTTCAGGAATTGGAGAAACTGCTACAAAAACAATTATGCTGAAGGTGCTGGCTGCTATTGAATTTATGCACAGTGAAAATTTGGTTCATCGAAACTTAAAAGCTGAAAATATACTCATTTTTGACAGAAACTACCATAAAGTTAGTAATTTGTTTCTATGTAGTAGCTTACATTTTCGAAACTTAAATCAAATATGCCGATTGTGTTCAATAAAAAATAGTGAACAAATTTTTGCTAGCTATAAAATAATTTTAAAAAGTCTATTTTTTTAAAAGTCATATTTGATTTACTAATAACGGCCCAAAATTGTCCATTATAAAACTTTAAAGAGTAATTTTAAGGTAAAAGTGACTGATTTTGGATTGACACGAAAAGTAGGCACATCTGTTCGTCATTTGGAATATGTCAATTATTATCATGCACCAGAATTATGTGAAACTGTTGTTAACGAAACTTTCATTGTTGATCGATCAATTGATATCTGGGCTATAGGTAACCACACAACACTGTTCTATCTCTAAATGTTTGATAATTTTGGTGTAATTTTCAAAAATTTCAAAGTTCCAACTCTTTTGCATGCTTACAATCAAACACATTACTTTTTTTTCAATTTTAGGAATATTAATTTACTACAGTCTTCGTGCACGTTTTCCATGGCAAAAAGCAACAATCATGTGTAAACCATATTGGGAATGGGAACAGTGGCTGAAAAGGAAAAATTTGCAATTACCGAAACGTTTCGATTGCTTCACTGAAAAATCGCTGAAATTATTCAGGCGAACACTTGAAATAAGGTAATAGTGATACTGATCAAGTTCTCATTTGTTTCATTTGACTACATATACATATCTAATATTGCTTTTACAATGTAAACATAAAAATAAGCATAATAATAGCGAGAGAAGCTTACTAGTGCTGCTTTGGGCTCTCATGTAAATTATGTGGCATTTATTTAAAGTATTTGTAGTACACTGCCACATGAGACTAGCATTTTATGAACTTGCTTCGTGAAGGACGGACACACTGGAAGGATTTTCTTAGCTTTTACTGCACTTGTAAATCATGAGATCACACAATTGCAAACTTCCATAAGTCGGACAAGGGTTGTTACTTTACTTTGATTTAGATGTAAGGATCGATGGAGTGTGAAAAATGTCTCAAAATGTTTAATGAAGGAAAAATTGTTGAAAACGCCAAAGATCGCTGAAGAAGTGTGATTGCTAATTTCTATAAACTATATATTGCAAATAATATTCCAACTTCGCATCACATAGTTGTTCTTAAAATGTATAGCAAAAATCTATTTACAGTCTATTATTTCCCGTATCCTTGCAATAGTTAATTATATTCTTTCATATTTGACTTCATCATTTAGTTTTAATTCCGCGAATTAAAGATTCACTCCCATTACATATCCTTCAATTCAGAAATCTAGAAGAAATTAAGGAATGGATCTATGAAATCACTTTTATCAAAGGATTCTTGACCTAATAAATGGGCACCGTGCCATCAAATGAGAGCTCTAAACTTTTTTTTTCTCATAAACATGAACTCGTTGTTCGTGTAAAGCTTTTTGAATTTGTAGATTCCAACTCTACGTTCAACAACTTGCCTCTTTACTAATTTAATTGAAATTTTTGGGCCCAATGAAATCACCAAATGAATTCCCGAAACAGTAAAATCCACAACTATGCCGATCAAACTGTAAATTTTAGTTATTATGATAGCCATCTGACCTGACAAAGAGAGAACAATTTAACAGTATGACCTGATCCCTCTCCGAAATAAACTTGTTTCTTTTGTTGATCACAGTCAACCCTTCGTCAATTTAGACAAACTCTTCTGCAGCCAAATGTTATCAATCTTTATTCCTTTCTATCCCTTGTCAAGGCATTACATCATTTCTCTAGATACTTTCCACAGTACTGCAATTTCAGCTTGCATAAAAATGCTTCAAGGTGAAATTTTTCAATTTCATAGTAGCCATGTTGTAAGTTAACTATTGAAAAATCATGGAAATATGAAAAAGTTTAATGAATTGATAGGACTGCACGAGACAGAATAAACCCATTAATCAATAATAACTCTGATATGCTACCATTTTACAAATTAAGAACTGAATTCCATTAAAAAAGCAACAATTGCTTAATTCATCAGTTGAATCTATCACATTTATGCCTGTTCCTGAAAAAATCACAATCACTGAGCTGTTTTCGAGCAACCATATAATTTTCACATCGCTTTCAAAGTAAACTCATTCATTGGTAGACTTTTGCTTCACCACGCTAGAAATGTTACTTTCCTTTAAAAGATCACCGAAGAAACGAAAAACGACCGTAGAAGCTGACTTTCATAATCCTTGACTTGGAGATCAAAAAAAAGTAACATACTTCTCACCTAATTTAATCTAAATCTTTTGACTGCTGAATCACGGTGATTTTCCTTAATTTGTATTTCTTTATGTAGTTTTCCCGCCAAAATTCTCAATGCATGAGTGATGCAGAATTTTGTTTTGAAAAAAATTACTATTCCCCTATATACATGGTCTGATACGAAAGTAGAATATGATAAAAAAAAGGCTTCGCTAATCTGCTTAACATAAAGACATTAATAAACATCACAAAGTCAAGAAAATTCAACACAAACCATATTGAATGCACCCGTCTTAAGTATCACCAACTATTGCTGATAAGCTTATGCGAGCACGAATCATAGAAAAACTAGCTAATGTACAACAAAATAATAATAATAATAATAATAATGCTAATTCAGCTCTCGACTCTCTTAGCCATTTCTGTTGAAAAAATAAGAATTAGAAGTAATGCCTAACTTAATCTTATAGGCAGTTTTTCTTAACAATTAATTGGTCATTTTAACAAGCATTCATAATTGCATATATTTATATGGTAATGTAGTAATCCAATATTCAAATCCGAAACATAAACGACAACTAATATTTATGAATTAACCAAGTGATTATTGTAATAACTGAGCCTTCAAATTATTGATTATCTCATCTTTTTCAACTAGCTGCTTACGCAGTGCGTCATTTTCTTCAATCAGTTGTCGTACAATGTCGCTTTCGTCACTTTTCTGCAACGCTTAATTTATGGAATGTTTTTTATAACTGATATTAAAAAAACTTGTTGCAAAAACAAACAAACCCCTGATGTTTTGGTTGAGACTTCGGCCGTTACTGCATTCTGAAACGTCAGATAAAATTAAAAGTTGTGAAATTAGATGACCAATAAATTGAAAAAACTGCCAATGTTGTGCAGATTACTATGAATTGTGTGACCACTCTAAACTTCATAAACTGGTCCTTACTTCATAATTCAAAGTTCAAACCCTCCATATTACTAGCAAAAATCTTGCTCATGATAGCAACTTCTCCAAAATATAAATTTGGAGTCAGAAAATTATTAGAGCAAAAAAGAATCATGCGAAATCATCAGAGCAAGGAGGAACTAGTACAGAAGTGGTGATAAACTCATTAAATTGGTAAACATGCATTTATCAATGTCCGCAATTCCAGTAATTGACTTTTTATGTATACTACATCATTACACGATGACTCATACATAGCTACATTAGGAAATGCGATTGTTGGCGCTTCATTGCTAGAGATTTCATTGCATTCCCGATTCCTAAAACAGAACTAAACCAGTAATCAGCTCACCTGAATTCAATTCAACGCCTCATAGATCTGTTAAAGAAACTGAGAAAAAGAAAAACTAGACAAAACAGAGTAATCTGTGCTGTCTCCTTTCACTGCAAGCACATCTGTTTGACAAGAAAAAATTAAGTTTCCAGTTTCTTTCATCACATGAATACATACTAACTTACTGCCAAAACCCTTGCTGCGTTGTAGCAGCTTTAATCTACTTTATCATCACTTCAAGCTTATTCCATAAAGAAAACACACTAACAAGCAAATTTCACAGAATTAGATAAACATTTGCAATCTAGGATGAGAAAAAAGTTTTTGTGCAAAAAAGAAAGAAAAAACTTTGGAATTTAATATTCAATGTGTACTGCAATAGCAAAGAATAGCTGTCTAGAGGCAGAGAAATCATTTTTGTAAATATGTAAAATTTTGTGATCATCCACAGCAATAAAGAAGCTGTAATTGATGACACAAGTCAATAACATAAGAACATATTTCTGCATGATTTACAGCGAAAAACTTGTCCTCAAATTGTAGCAGAGTATAGATTAAAACACTATTTATACATTAAGATGTAGGATTAAGCAAATGTTGGAAAATTAAAAAATAAATTCTCACTCTCACACTCAGATCTCTCTAATACTACATGAAAATATCTCCAGTTCATAACATTACAACGAAGTGTGTGATAAGATACAAGTCAAATTAATTCATCTGGATATGGATATAAAGAGATTTAACTGATATAGAACAAATCTGAAATCGTTATTCAAGAAACCAACGGATAAACACATTTAAATAGCAAACATCGAAGCAGATGCTTACTTATGGTGTGTTGTGATTGAACTTGAAGAACTGACTGGTCCATGATTAAAGTCACGTTGTCGTGGCCGATCTGAGCGCGACCGACCTGCTCTGCAATTCACAACATTTGTATATGTACTCGAATTACTTATCATAATTCGCTGCTTTTGACGTATAAAATCCATCTCTTTAGCAACAATGATTTAATATGTCTAAATTACTCTCATTTTGATTTCCTCCTATTGGAGCAATAATAATTTAGTGATATTAATCGATATAACATTGTTTTTGCTCGATAATATAAACTGTGAATAATTATTGTAAAATAGTTTTGACAAAGTTTACATTTGATGTAAAAGACAAGCTTTAGATATACAAACCCTCAATCAACTGACGTTTATAGATTCTTACTCTTGTAAAAAAAGAAAAAATCTGCAACATTATCGTTACCTCAAGATTCAAAGCAAATGAATAAAAGGAGCTAGTGAAACATGCACCATCGTAGGAATTTGCAGGTCATAATTTGGAATTGTAATGAAGTATGCAATATGAACAAATAAAAAAATATGAGATACAACATATTAATTAAATTACGAGCATTTACATGTGAGGAAAATGGAAAAGCAAGCAGTGAAAATTGTAATCACTTGAGATCGCATAATAGTAGAAAATGACATACGTTCTCTATTACGCTTAGTAACAACTTCAACACAAACTGATAAACTGCTCACATATTCTGTTAATTTTGAATACTTTGAAAAAGCTAGGTTTCTGAATTTTAGCCACGTCAAAAATCGCATTACTGCATTAAATAATGAAATAAGTGATAATTTGGTAATAAGATATATAACAATCACTCACCAAAAGTTGAAATAACTGTGCAAGCAAAATCAGTCTTTCGGACTTCTTTACAGTAAGATGAAAATTATTCTTTCGGGTACAAATGAAAACAAGGAAAACATATTTTTGAAAAGAGATACAGATTGCAATAAATGACTCAATTTAAGCCAAGCATCTGAGGCAGAAAGACAACACATTAGTGAATCTGCTTGATAACTTATACGTACTTCACAACCAAAATGATGAAAATAAGACAAACATTAAAAAACATGAAACGCCGACTGAAACTGCTATCCCTTTTTGGCAACAAATAAGTTTTAATCAAACAAGCACATAAAAGAGCAAATGTGGAAACTTGCACCAATTAAAAAACAAATTGGCAAATAAGAAAAGAAAAGTTAAGAAAATAGATATTATGGAGAAGAATATGTTAGAATCTCATACTTACCTCATGGATTTGATCAAAGTGTTCAGAAAGAGGCAATCAGCCATCATAACACGTCCTTCACTAATACAAAATCATCAAAATAGAACGAGACAAAACGAGATAGAGAAAGGGAAACAAAATGAAAGAGGAGGAAGAACACAGCAGAAACGATCATTCTTCCATGCAGACATGAACCTGTTTTGCTAAGTGTTTTTCACATCTTAGTTTTAGTTCTCAAGTTTTGCTTTATCTTCCACAAGTTTGTTTCCATCTTAATAAAATTATATTATGGCTTCAAGAATGCATTTGAGTTCAACTAATGTCTGCAATGGACTCAACTACATTTGAGTAGCTGCTGGAGTTTACTATGAATTCCTAATGATTTTAGCATTTTCACTTATGTAGTGTTTAAATAAACAGCCCTCACAACTGCTATCTTGCTGAGCAGGCATCGATGACTTCCACACTATTTGACCTTTACCAAAGAAACAAAATTCTCTCTTTACGATTATTTTTTGCATTATAGATTGCCATTTAAATTAAGATATTACTTTCAGAGAATAGATACCAAATTGCTGAATAATATTTACCACAAGCCCCCTCACACTCGTTAATCGTAATCTTTTATAAGATATTTCATATTTTTATTTGACGTATTTGAGAACAAATGTTTCATTCTCTTCTTTTTCCAACTTAATTGTGCTATCCGTTGTCATATCTAAAATAGTAAAGACTTCTCAATCTTTTTCTATTCTTTCAGAGGACTGAAAACAATTTATTATCACCTTTCACCTCTTATAAGTCCCTATAAATGAGCGATTAAATGACCGAAACAGCGCCTAACTAAAAATTTAAATTGCCGGTCATGCACTGTCCTTTTGTTCGTTTGTAAATTAGTTTCATATTTATTACATCTTATTTAAACTCCTACACGATGAATAGTCGAATAATCAGACATGAAAGAAGAACATGATTAGAGAATGAATAAATATGAATACAATAAAATATGCGCTATTTATAATGAAATGGACGAATATATAAAAGACGATGAAAAATCTGTTAATAAATTAAGCATGTTTCCCGTAATCTAGAAACGAAACCAAGAAACAATATATGGAATTGTCACTAAACAGTTCATTAATTGTTAATAGGAACGCTTTACATTTAAAAAAGGCTGACATAAAAAAGTTAGTACGTTTTCGCATTGTTAACAACTTGAATAGTTCGTTATAAGCTAACAATCTAAAATAAACATGTTACTTATCGTTTTTCAAAATCACAAGCATGCTTCTCTATCCTGAATATAGTTACTATAAACCACATTGAATTTCCTATCCAATTTTTTAGTTTCACTTTGAAAAGAATACTTTTGATACCTCTCCCATCACTAATCATCGCTATATCAAAAACTGAACATTTAAGAAATTCATACACTTGGCTGTTGGTCATGTCCAGAAATTGTTCCCGTATTTCTTTGTCCGGTGATTTTTCTGGAGAATCCTGAAAACCGGAGGACGTCGTAAATCCAGATGAAGTCATGATAGTCGGTGAAATAAACTCATTTGTACTGTCTCCTGATTTGCCATCACTGTCTCCAAGATCATCCACAGAAGGCACATTATGCAAATCACCGCTCGGTATAATATCAATTAGTTTACGATCACATCTTTAAAAAATGTTCTAATTTTAAAAGTTTACTGAATCTCTTAAATTTACAGAAGATATGGAAGTAAATTACGACTACATACATCTTTCCATCATGCAAAGATTGCTTGCTTGATGCTTCGTCCCATTCTCGACATGTTTCTGAGGATAGAAATTTATTGCTGATTAGGAAAATATTTGGATTGTTAAAATCCGGAAAAAACTCTACAAAAATGCAAACAAGATATTAGTGAATTGAGGATACCACTTCATCTTTTAATAATTAAACTATTATTTAAACTTTCGTTTGTATACATTGTGCAAATACGGTGAAATTAAGAGACTAAAATTCAAAGCTTTTACAATTTACAATATCGTCGCTTTGAGCGAGAAATTCATCTTTTCACACTTTACTATTTAATCATGAATTGATTTAATGCAAACAGAAAATTTCTGAAATATAAGAAGAAATGTAAATGAGTATGTAAAAAGAAAAAGGAAGATAATTTCTCACTTCAAAACTGAATTTTATTCATAATTAATGATTTTTCAAGACATTTGTTTGGTTGAAAGGAACCTCTCACTGATTTTGTTGCAGAAGTGATTTCAATTTCGTTATATGAAGGTGACAGGACTGCTATCATTTGGTTCTCTTCATTACCCTTCCAGGCCTCATCGCTCTTACTAGGAACAAATTTTGTTAGTGACACTTCCACTGCTGGCGAATTTTCAACACAAGATGATTCACATTCCGCTAATGGCGCCTGCAAAAACATGCAAAGAAACCCAAAATTTAGCGTTAGACCGCTGCCTTTTTCATTACTTGAGCGACATAAATTGATAGTTGAATTATAAGAAGAGAACAAATACTTGGTCTGATTTTTTGACTGGTAATCTTCGAGGTGGTGTTGTATATAGCGGTATAAAAGATTTTTGTTTGCTATTGATGCTTTTCTTTTGATCGTTTTTTCTTATCTGACATTTTTCAGCATTTTCTACTTCAACACATTTTACTGCAACGGAAACAAATAATTTTTGAAATAAAAGCCGAAAAAACTTATGCACGACACTCGCACGTCCCAACCAATAAAAAAAGCATGAAATAATGAGTTTTATGATACATGAAAAAGCTCATCCCTGTTCTGATAACAAAATTATGCATAGGTGAATGCAAAAAGATGAAAACCTGACAACTTGAAAAGCATTAAGAATTTTAGCAAGGTGACTTGAGCGTGTGATACGTCCATAGTAAGTGTAATCAATTTATGTTCTAGATAAGATTAAGTGCTGATTTTGTGAAGAACACCAAAAGTTGCTTAAGACATAAAAAGAAAATAATACCTGATTCTGTCTTCGCAGTATTTATCGACGGCTTCATTGTTTCTTTTACAGAACTGCAATTTCCTGTCTTCATAGGAACAGCTCCCGTAGATTTGTTCAGCTGACGAAGATTATTAAGTAACGACAGATCTTTTGCAGTTTGCGGCTTTAAATGTTCCTTGCAACCTTTCATGACAGAGCCCTTTGTCTCATCTCTCGACTCTGTTGTAGGTAGAATTTTAGATCTGTTAACCTCTGAGTACTTTTCTCGATTTGATGAAGAATCTTTTTCATACACCTCTACCGTTGACTGATTAATGTTATTTGATGAGAAACGAATTCCAGGAATTCTAGAAGCCTTCGATATACTATTTCTGGAACTCTCTTTACTTGAGATAACTTTGTTTGGTTCGGAGCAAGAAGAGTTTAACAGTGTTCGTGTTTCCATACTTACTGATTTCTTGAATTGCATGTTGCTTGATGTATTTCTAGCTATCTCTGCAGGGTCCCGTCGAATACTGTAAAAATAAATTTGACAAATAAAATTGGCGGCTAGGAGGTCCAAAACGATAGATTATCGTTTACTTTAAGCAGCTGTCGGTAGCTAATTCACTTTTTCTCTTCTCTTTGTCTCAACAGTTTTAATGAGATCCAGACTTAAGTAAACATTGCTTATCTCTTAATCACAATTATCGACAAGGCTTGTTCAAAGGCAAAATTATCAGTGGTGTTACATGCTTGAAATGAAAAAATGACGAGGTAAAGTGACGGAAAAGCAACAAAGACATCGTGAAACCTGCTTGAAAAAGAGTAAGGAGTGCCGACTAGACAATCAAGGGAGTCGTTGAAGTCAAGGAGGTACGACAGTTGATTAACATAGCCTTGTTACAATCACAAGTACCAACCACTCTCCTTCGTCTGTCTTATTTTAAATAGTTTCTTGAATGCAAGATTCTTACAACCATGACGGCAGGGAATCTGCAGTCCGCATAATCCGGCTGCACCGCAATGCAATCACAATGTCTCTGGCTAACCAGAAACAGAACTGGTCTTGACAAGCACTCAACCATTTAAAATGAAACACTTAATCAATGATGCATTATCAGATAAAGATATTCGAAACTGTGAAGAACATGTACTAAGATTTTTTGATTTTTATCTTCAACATAACAGATGAAGTGTGGTAAGCTAATGAAAGCTTGAAAAGTTACTCATATGTTGAATAGAAGTACCGATATTCCAAGTTTTTCAAAAACAAAAATAATTCGATTTTTTTCCATTTACAGAATTTAGACTCTCACATCAGAGAGATAACGTATGCTTCTACAACTACATAATGTTCATGTAGATACCGTACCCATTTGTACCAGAAGGGCAGCGATTCTGAAGCAGGAGAAAGCTCA